CAGCTGCGTGAAATTGGTAATAGTTCCGGACTATGTTTTGCTTTACTTCCTGAAATAAACTTTGTTTCCCTTGCTTTGCACTAGTGGCTCCAAATTAGAAACTGAAGTCATCTGTACAATGAGAAAACAATCGAGTAATATATGATAATATCAAAGAAACATTTTCCTTAAATGATGAATTTACAATTCTGGCTAGACAATTAAAAAGCACAATAAGAGAGGATAATTACACTAAATGTAAGAACAAACAACTCTTTTTGGGAAACAATCCTCTAATTAATTCCCTGGGAATTTCTATAGTTGGTGGAGTAGATAGAATCCCAATCAAATATAGTTGGTAGAGTGAGTTGTTGCAATTTAGACACAAATTGCCAATCTTTTCTTTCATCTCGGGAGAAGAAGGACCGGGAGGAGCTAATTCAGACCCCTCCACTAAAATAAGAACATTCCTCACATTCGTTTGTTTCGAGAAATCTATTGATTAATTCCGATTCTTTTCTTTTTCTTTTTCTCTTGATTCTCTTCCGATCGAGACATATAGATCTTGTTCATGGATTAACGAAAAAGTGCAAAAGCTCTATTTGCCTTTGTTATTCTATGAGTCTCTTCCTTTTTTGCGTATGACATCGCCACTCCCTTTGGCAGCATCCAAAGGATTTCTCCTTTGCTTTGACAATGAAATTTTACCCCCGGTCTCCTTTATAAAGAAAGGGAGAGATTTATTGATGTATTTATTGGATCCGTTAGATGCCTGTTCGTTATTAGGGTAGAATAGGGCAATGTCCTTGTCTAAAGTTAAAAAGAAGGTAAATAGAGGAATTCACTTATCTATAGAGGCGAGTCAAAGCTTTTTCCTTGAAAGTTGAATTACGACCTTGCATATCGTTATCGTTTACAGATTCATCAATGCTCAACCTCCCAAGATTCAGCTACACAGCCTCTTGAACTTCATCAAAAAAAAAAAGGGAGAAAGTATAGCTGCACTGCCTCTTGAACAATAGAGACTTCTTCATCTCACACACCCTTCAGAAGGAAATTAGAGATACCCTTCTTTGACTTTTATATCCTGAGATATGATAAAATTACCCTTCATTCAAGTATAAAGCTGCCATTTTACTGTCATATTTATGTTTTAGAATTCAAACTGAGGTGTCTATCTATTTTCATAGCAGCATAAGAACGGATCATTTGTAAAGAGACAAGTTTCAACAACACTCGATGAACCATTCTCACCAAACACCCTACTTGTTGTTTCAATGGAAGGCTCAGTTGACAAGTTCAATTGAATTTTCCAATAGATCATTCCTTTTAATTGAATTAGTAAATGACTTTTAAACTTCATCTGAAATTCTGAAACAAAATTTTTAAATAGATTGCAGAATAAATTGTGAAACTGCAACAGTGTGTCGTGTTAAAGGCATTTGGAGATGAGAAGTCATTCTTTGAAGGCGAGCCTCGAAAAAAAAAAGACTGTAGTGATTGTTTTTGGGTCAAACTGATACAGACATCTTTTATAGCTATTGGAGAGCACTGCTGTATTTTGTTTCCCCCTGCTGTAGGGTTTGGTTTTGTTCCTCCAGCCATTAGGAATCTGGCAAGTTCAATTGCGACCTTTTATTTTTTTGAAATGGTTAAGGTTTTATAAATAAAGGTACCAAGATGTATGCTTTTGTGCTAGATCTAACTAAATAAGAATATTGTAATTCTCATATGTCACGGTCTATACTCAGGCTTTGGTGGTGCTTTAATATGTTGTGTTAATTGTTTTCTGTAGCTTTTAATGGTGCTTTAATAATTTTAATGCTTTTTGTTTTTCTGTTATTGCAAGCATCAAAAGAGAGTTGATTTGCAGCTTCGAGAGTACAAAATCTGTTGGTTAACAAAATTTAGTATTTTCCAGGTTCACATATTCCATCTACTTCTTCTCCAAGATCTGCACCTAAAAAGCTTGTATCACCCTTTCGGTGCCTATCCTTGAAAAAAATGGATGAATTTCAAGATGAAACTCAGCACTTGCACCAGCCTGTGGCTGACATTAATCAAGATCTTGAAACAGCTTATGTAGCTCAGTTGTGCTTGACCTGGGAAGTTCTTCACTGTCAATACACACAATTGAGTCAGAAAATCTCTAGCCAACCTGATAGTCCCATCTTCTATAATCACAGCGCTCAGCAGTTTCAGCAGTTATTGGTCTTGTTACAACGATTTATTGAAACTGAACCTTTTGAACCGGGTACGAGGCCTGAAATTTATGCTCGCATGAGACATGCATTGCCTATGCTACTTCAGGTTCCTAAAGTCCAAGGTAGTACTGATATCTGATAATGGTTGATTTCCTATGAGATGCTCATTTGATTTTTCTAGTGACGAACAACTTCCTTTTTCCTTGTATTGAATGACTTGGACTTGTTATTTGTTAAGAATATTTACTTTGCTAAAGTTTGCATTGTATTCAATGCATATTAAATTTGATGTACTGGAGTACGTAAAGTTGATTTCCTTTTGATCTGGCTGACAAATCTAATCTCTCAAATTTAGGTTCTGATCAAAAGAAATTGGAAGATGATGAGTTGCCAGTTCTTGCTCCAGATCTACTTAAAGTGATTGAAAGTTCAATCCTCACTTTTCGTGTATTTGTGAAGATGGACAAGAAGTCTAGCAGTGTACGTAATCTTTTCGGAAGCCAGAACCAGATGACAACACCTGTTCATCAGGTTCAATGTTCTCTTGAAAAGGTAAGGAATTGGTTTGATATTCTCTGTTTAACCATCCTTATGAGTTTACCTTACTTTTATCACTGTACTTTTTATGAGGTAGTATTGTTAGTGTTTGTCTTGGAAGAATTTCAAGATATTTTCCTTTTTATACTCCAGGAAATAATGGAAATATAGAAAATATGTGTTTGTATAAAATAGTTGACATCCACTTAGAAAAATACCCAATATGGAGCAGATTTAGTAAAGGCTTTGAACTTGTTTCCGACATTCTCCACTTGGGATGAAAAGATGTGTAACACCATCAGTCAATGAGGTTTTCCTTTGAAATTGTCTAGTCAAGATTCTCAACTTAATTTTCTCTTCTGTTTCTGAAATGTGGGGCCTCCATTTTCTTCTTTCTTTTTAGCACATTTCAATTTTTGTATTGTGACGAAGAGGAATAACTTAGTCCATACTCCATATCATCAAATGATAGTATTGTTTCTTTCATAAGCCTTTTCTTGACTCTTCTATCCATGTTGTATTCATATCTGTCCAGCTCTTATGAAGAGGTCAAGAGGAAAGTGTTGCTTCCTTTCGTCCAAACAGATTTTCTGAACCATAAATTAATAGGAAAGTATAAGGTTGTTCAGTGAAAGATTGTTAAATAATAAAAACTGGAAGACGTCTTAGCCATCAACAAGCCCATAGTTTCGTTACAGTATTAGAAGTCTGCCTTTGGAGATTTCTAGGTTTCCTCTGATTTCTATTTATTTGAATGTTGAACTGATATGATTAACTTAATATCCATTTTCTATTTTCAGTAGTTGGTTGTAATGTAGTATTGCTAATAGTAATTCAAGCAAAGCTCTTGCTATCTCCATTTTGCTTTGGATCGTAAGATAAGTCAAGCAAATGCCTATTTTGAGACAGAAGTTTGGATATTGCTGTTGGTCTTCTTTGAGATAACTTCTTACTCTTTCTAATGCAGAAAAAGGTGAAACTGAAGGAACTACGGAAGAAAACAAAGAACCTGAAGAAGAAATCATGGCCTAGCATGGCAGCAGATGTGGACCTGTTGCTTGGCCTAATTGATGTGAAAGTCATGAATAGGGTCCTAAGAATGGAAAGAATCAGTAAGGAACAGTTATTCTGGTGCGAAGAAAAGATGAAGAAGCTAGATGTAACTGACGGCAAGCTGCAGAGAGACCCCTCTCTTATCTTATTTCCTGGTTAGCAGGCAAATCGAAACTCTTGACTTGCTAGAAAAACCAATATTTTTTTTCCTTCTGTATTGGCTGTATAATAGGGTGGATATTCTTCATCAACTGTTTGATCTTATATGATGTTTAAACTTTGGAAAATGACATGCTTTCAAATGAAATGTCTTTTTTTTTTTTGCATGTTTTAAATAAAACATGTTTATGCATGATTTCTATACTTAGTGCATTTTTGTGCAAATTTTTTAGTTGAAAAGGCTTGTTTTTGGTTTGGCAATGCGTTCCCGATGGTTTTGTTAAGCCTCGTAGAAGTGCGGACAGAGCATGATGCCTGCCTTTTCATAATTTTTGCCATTACTTTTTTGACCCAAAACTAGGAAGTTCTTTTAGCTTTTGTTGCTTCACGGAGTGATAAATATCCATTAGATGATCAAGGAGTGTGGACAAGTGATCATCGATCAGGAGTATCATCAGGTCTTGCGTTCAAATTTTAATTGGAGATAAAAATAGTTAGGTATTTTCGAGACCCATGTTAGATGTTTATAACCGCCATCATTCCAGGCTTTCCTATTATTTATTTTTTGTTGTGCCCTGGATCTATTACTTCCTCCGTTTCGATGTAGGGGACATAACATGAATTTATAGCTATATAAACATCACATATTTAAGACTTTCACGTTTGATTTTCTTTTGAACTCGTTTGGGTAAACACGAAAATGAAAAAAAGTCCTAGTTATATAACTTATAAACTGTTAACATCATTCCGTGGAAGGTTAGCAGGAGTATAAAAAGGCCTCTTCGCACATTTGATCCCTTGCTACTAAAAAGTAGATGTCCAATTATACTTGATCATTTTATAAAATTTATGGATAATAGTTATTTTCTTATTACGCTTTTTAAGATATTAAATTTATTATATTCAAATAATGATACAGTAAATTATCCTTCTATTTATAATTTTTTTAAAATATGCTAAATCAATAGTAAACAATTATCGAGGAATATAACAAAAACATATATATTTCTCCTTTATTATTTTAGTGGGCAACTATATAATATAATATATTTTCTCATATAAAAATATCATAATGCCCGGATAAGTCAACTAACATAGTTATAGATCTCGAGAAAAGAAAACAAGCACTGAGCCATTGACAATAGAAAAAGAAAAATGTTCCCTCCCGAATATTTTCCAACGATTCTGTTGTTGGCTTTGCTCTTTTTCAATTTGTTTGAAATATCTTTGATGGAAACTGTTATGAAATGGGCATAGACAGTTTTCTTCAGAAGCTTCTCTTTGAAAAAAAATACAACAATTGGAATATAATGTGTCAATAATAATCTTAATTAAGCCCGCGGATTTTGAAAAATTTAGAGAAGACGACACAGCGTTCGGAATTGACTCACCGATAAATTTTCCGTCCATATCTGGGGCCACTGTAATCGAGCCATTAGAGACCAAAAAAAGTACCTGCGCCATGGAAGAATTGAACGCTAATGAGGAGATTCGAAGGACAATAAACCCTAGGAGGAAGAAGGATTTGCGTGGTCCCGTACCCTTCATTATCATCATCTGCGGCACTCTCGTTTACTACCACTGTGTTTATCGGAATGCCAGTATCGTCTCTCTCGTCTCTGACGTCTTTACTGTAATCCTTTGCTCCCTCGCCATTCTCGGACTCCTGTATCGCCAGATGAACATTTCGGTTCCTGTGGATCCACTAGAATGGCAGATCTCACAGAACACTGCGAATCGCGTCCTTGCCTGCATTGCTAATACTATCGGTGCTGCTGAGTCTGTTCTCCGCGTTTCTGCTACTGGACATGATAAGCGCTTGTTCGTTAAGGTACTAACAAACTTGTACTGTATGTTTGGAACTTAATATTGTGCTTGGAAGTGAAATTTCACCAAAAACTGTTTTTTTTTTTAGAAGTTGAGCCAAGGGGTGTAGTGGAAAGGTCGATGTACACACTACTCTTCCCGGTCTTTTTGTGTAAATTTTTGAACTTCACTAAATTTCACAAACAAACAATGTTTTCTGCCGAACACAGTATCAGAGCTTCGATAGGATGATTAATACACAAAGGAAAGCTCCAAACAGAAACTCTTATACTAATGTGACGTAACTGAATATTCGATTGGTGAAGTGTTATTAAAATCATCTACATTGCCAGGTTGTGGTTACTCTTTATGTGCTATCAGTTTTGGGAAGGATAGCATCAGGCGTTACTGTTGCCTATGCCGGTGAGTCATTTCTTCTCCTATTTCCTCTATTTCAACTATCGGGATACAAGTCATTTTCATTCACAAATTTTGCGTCAAATTGTTCTGTGTCGATTAATTTTATGTAGGACTCTGTTTTCTTTGCCTTTACATGCTTGTTGAGAATTCTCAACTGATCAGCGTATGTTTGTCGAGTCAACGAAAGAGAAAGGACTCAAGAGAAACAGTTCAGAGCGACTAAGGTGTTTTGCTCAGTCTACGGAGCAAATGAATTTCCTGGTTTGTAGATACACGAAAAGAGGGAATGAAGCAATAAGAATAGAATTATGGTACCACTGGTAAAAAGTAAATAATGTAGCCCGTATTCTATGGTTCGAATTATTGAATAGTGTGAATTCTTTGTGTGTAGCCTTGTGATTTCCTTGCGCATCTCTGTAGCATATTCCCAGTCCTAAGATGACGGTTTCCCCAGGCAACAAAGATGTTGATTCTTGTTAGCAAATATTTTAGTATTAGCTCAAGGAACAAGAGAGCTTCTGCGAATTCATGAACGACGTGATGATGGTAGGGATTTAACACGTGCATTGTCTTGATGAGTGGTTAACAACTACTGTTTGATGCGTAGAGTTTTGAGCATGTAGATTTGAACTGATTGCCCCAAAATGATTCTTTTGAAGAATTGCACAAAACAGCATTTGATCCCATCTCAATATCTCTTTCCATATTCGAAACATAAACTACTGACTCTCCCTCTTGCATCACCACAGAAAACACAGATCAGAAAAACATTGAAGAATTTGTGTCCAAATTCACACAGAATTAACGAGCTTGATCCTTGTACTTCAAATCCAGCCACATAAAATGGAATGGGGATATGAAGTTATCAACAAGAGAAGAGACTGCTATTGGCGTGATATGCCATGACAAACAGATCATTGCTTTCAACTAGACTTCAAAGTACTGGAAAGCGTTTGCACTACCCAAAAACACTTGATTTTCTAAAAGGAGAAGATGAAGTAAGAAAAAAAATGGGAGTCCCGTCTTCTCAAGTCTGAAAAGATTTTCTTCCTTTTTTTTCCTCCGAGAACCTGAAAGTATATATCAGTAATCATCATCATCACCTCTCTGGCTCATATTCGACTTTTGTACTAAACGGACCACCTCAGACATTTGTGGTCGAAATTCTGGCTCCGGCTGACAACATCAGTAATCACGAATAAGTCAAGAATCCTTATTCTTTAGGCTATTGATAGAAAGATATTAGTTAACTCCCTCTATTTTAGAAAATTACTGCAAAAGAAATCTAACCTGAACGCACAGAGCAGTCACATTGGCAAATCTAGAGAGAGATTTAGGAGGATAAAGTCCACGCAGAGCAGGATCAGCCATTTGCTCTAAGGCATCTAGATCATGTAGTTGTGGCGATGCCCATTCGGCCAGACACTGTTCTAATCTTGGCTTTGAACTGAAGCATTGATCTGAATATGTTAGATTCACTTTGATGGATAACTTAAAAAATTAAACTTAGCATGCAAGGGGACTGCACCTGTCAAAAGGCTTTCGCCCTGTCAACAGTTCCAACATGACAACTCCGAAGCTATAAACATCACTCTTCAAAGTAAATGCAGAAGGTTTTGTGCATTCTGGAGCAGTGTATCCAGCATCCAAGTTTTTGCTTGATCGCTGAAAAAAAGGGAGAAGGTTGAATAACATTATTTAAGCACGACTACCTCTACTAGACACCAAACCACCATGTGAAATATCTTAAGCATAAATTGGCAAATGTGGACCAATCCAGATTAACCCTAGGTACAAACAACAGAGTATGCATTTCAACAGGATTTGGATTTTATGGGTTCTATATTTGAAGTATTGGATCTGAAATTTATTATATGTCCACATTAGTCAATTTACAACAAATATATAGGATTTTGATCAAAGTTATTGGGCTCTGGACGTACTTCAAATACTGGCTCCACCCCTGAATTTACAAACTACTATTATTTATCTAGCCCCAATTGCTACCATCTTCTATGTTCATATTCATTTATGTAGCACCATATCCTATTATTCAGAACATGACACTTATTCTCAAACTAGAACCTGATCGCCATGTCAAACTGTACAAATTTGCACCAAATCCTGCATCTATTAGCCATCCAGTAGACCAATACCATTCACAGCTGAGTGATAAGAAAATAATGGAGGGCAAGTGACTTGAAGAAGGACCTGGTACCATGGACTTTCTATTTGGAAATCAGCCGTGTCAGTGACATTCTAAGCAATGATGCAAACTAATTATGAAGCTGCTAATAAATTCAATCACAGTCCTTGGCCAAGAAAAGGTAACAATATCCACATTTCATTTTTGAGTCTTCTGAAATAGTATTCATTTTTATGGAAGACTAGCCACATTATATATGTCAAAATTACACGATTTCCACTTTTATCGTCTCAATAGTTTTCGTAAAACTTCAAAATATCCAACATATAATTTAAGAAGTTACATGCGGCCCACTTTATTTTTCTGAATATGACTTTATCCATTTCCTGTTTCAGGTGGTCACATTTGCAAGTTAGCAGGTTCCAAAATCCTAACATCCAAAACTGCAGAAAATACTTGCAGTATCTAAAGGTCTATCTTCACATACCTGATGAAACATTGCCATGCCACACTCACAGAGACGAGAATTCAATTCAGCATCGAGCACAATGTTTGAAGTTCTTATATTGCCGTGGAGACATGATGGAGAACAAACCTCATGCAGGTACCTATGTACAAATTAAAATCATGTCATAGGATCTCTATTAGGAGAACCACATTGACTAGAGTGTTTCTTATAATTCAAAATCATGTCGTACTCGATGGGATATCAGTTACAGAGGAAACCGTAATGTCACTCAACACTAAGGACATGCAATTAATCTGTGCCAGTAGTACTCACTATTAACACCAACATAAAGGAAATCACCAACTGCAAGAGAAACAACATGAAGAGTTTGACTTACTCAAGAGCACGGGCGACCCCTAGAGCAATTCTGACTCTTGTGTTCCATGTAAGAGGTTTGCTGAAGTCATCTGACACATGAAGGAATTCATAAAGTGAACCATTTCTAAAATACTCAAAGATTAACATATTATGTCCCTGCTCTGAACAATAACCAATAACTTCAGCTATATTTGTGTGGTGAAGTTTGGACATATTGCCAACAATTTCTGTGAATTCTGTGCACTGCCCATCTCGGAAAAAGGAGGAGTCTATTTTCTTTACCGCCAGAACCTGGTAAATCAAAAATAAGATTTCTCCATTATGTTTATCATATAGTACGGATCTGATTAAATACTTGTAGACCATATAAACATCAGCTGAACCTCCCTAGAAATGGTAGCCAACCAATTAGTAGCACCAGAAACATTTGCAGGTTTAAGTTGAATCAAGCATGATATATCTGCTTGGGACATATATTATGTTCACTTCCACATTACAGTTATCTGCTGCAATGAATAGAAAAGCTAGATAACCTAGCCTCACGGGAGTTTGAAAAAATAAGCTAACAAAAGAAGATAAAAGCAACTAAAATTATTGCCATGTGCCCATGTTAAGTCAGAGCACGTGGTATAGGTCCAAAAGTATATGCGAACAGAATATGCAAGATTCCCATGAAGAGATATCTGAGCAATCTGTATATGTTGGCTATGAACAGACTGATACAAGTTTTAAAGAGACCTTTGATGAGAAGTGAGCTCACATCCATCCATCATTATAGTCTAATTTCTGTGGTCAACTAGTGCGCTTACAGTATACCTATTAACATATTGGTGAACAAACTTTATCATGCAAGTGATCTGCTAAGGTCTGGAAGAAATTTGTTTTAGTTGAAAAGAACCTCTCTATAGTGTTATAAGGAAACAGAGAAGAGGTCAAATTTTATCTACACAAACGCAATATCCCAACCAGGAAATTTAAGTCAGTTTACCACAGTTTTCATGTAGCAGAACATTATCACCTATGCCAGGGGTGACTCAATGCCTTTAAAAATGAGGCATATGCCTTAGGCATCAAAATTAAAGGACCTAATTTTTTTCGTAATAATAAAATTATTCCTAAGCGTTTTTAACAAAAATAAATAAACAATAAAGAATGTTTTAATTTGTTTCGGAACATTAAAGAATGTTTCTTTTTAATGGATCAATTTTTAGATTTAACTTTCACATAATATGTTTACGACCATAAGATTAATATATATATATATATATATATATATATATATATATATATATATTAAGATCATAAAAAATAAAACTTTTTTTATTAAAAAAAAGAAATAACTTGAATCTCATATATAAAAAATAATAATTAAAATTTAGATTTTTAACTTAATTTTGGTTTAGGCAACTAATTAGCTTGAGTTGTCACTGCCTATGCAATGATTAACATGGACAACGTGATAGATTCAAGGATTACGCTGAAACAACAAATGTAAGTTCATTTACTTTAGCTCCCATGCAACAGTATAAGATCTATGTTATTATTCATAAATTCTATTCTAATTCATAAGGTTTCAAGAATTATAAAGTCAACTTAACAAGTACTATGTATTTATTTCAATCTTTTAAAAGGAACCTTCCGACATAATTTTCACTTAAGACTTGGGCTGGTTCCTACCATTCTGAAATACCATTCCTACCATTCTGAAATACCAATGATTTTCTAGAAATAATAGTAGAAAACAGTAGTTTCAATGTCAAAGCAGGCGGAATATATGTGTATGAACTTATGTATTTCATGAACACGGACTCTTCAAAATCAAGAAAAAGTTTAAATACATTGATCGTCAAGTACTCATGAATAGTATTAGCTTTACAAATATATGTTTGTCTATTGTCTTTTCTTCTGATTACCTTTGATTAATCTATGCATTGTATTCAATCTCTCATGGTGTATAGTGGAGGTTATGCAACCTATTCATGAAGTGAATTAACAATAAATAAACCATAAAACTAAATAATAATGTAAATCAGGTCAAACTTACCTTGCCATCCGGATATTTTGCCATGTATACTCGACCAATTGATCCCTCACCAAGAAGGCGAGAACTTGCAAAGTTACTGGTTGCATTTTGCAAATCAACTAAAGGATAATGATCTAACTTAACTGAACTGTTCTGTTTCATAGGATTTGCGAATTCTTTATCATTGGCCGACTTGACATGATCTGAAGGTGGAACATTTTTCATCTCCTTCTCATTAAAAGACTTGTGACGCTCTGAATTAAGACGCTTAAGAACCATTGAGGAAGAGGTTTGCAAATGTTTCTCTGCAACTGATGATGAATCAAAGGACATAAATTATGTTAGATGAAATAATACACTTGTGACCAACAAGGGAGGTTGCTCTAGTCGGGAGAGTTTTTCACTTTCAACTAAGAGGTTTTGAGTTCGTCATAAAGGGAAAGTGAGCATAAACTCTATTGTCCCTTAGATAAAGGTTGTGGAGGGGTGTGTTCACCAATAAAACAATAATAATAGTACAATCAAACCAACAACAACATACTCAATATGATCGGGGTGTCTCAATGCCTTTAAAAATGAGGTCATATGCCTTAGGCCCCAAAATCAAAGGGCCTAATTTTTTTAGTAATAATAAAATAATCTTAAGTATTTTTAACAAAAAAATTATAATAAAGAATGTTTTAATTTGTTTCGAAACATTAAAGAGTGTTTCGTTTTTATCGATCGATTTTTAAATTTAACTTCCACTTGATATGTTTAAGACCACAAGATTAAAAAATATTTTGGTATATATATCTTTAATTTAAGATCACAAAAATAAAAACTTTCTTAATTAAAAAAAAAGAAATAACTTGAATCTCATATATAAAAAAATAATTAAAATTTAAGTCTCTAACTTAATTTTGGATTTAGGCCACTAATTAGCTTGAGCCACCACTGAATGTGATTCCACAAATGTGGATCTAGCAGACCTTCCACCTAACTTTGCAGGTTAGGGAGGTCATTTCTGAAAGATCCTTGGTAATAATACAACCTAACCTTAACTTAGTTTAGGAGACAAGTTTTAGAGAATATGTTATTGTAAGCCACAGATTTTTTTTTCTTCTCAATTGCTTCTTCTTTTGTAAAAGTGGATTGGAAAGCCAAAAGTAAAATTACCTCTGAAGTCCTCCTGCATGTTGGCACGTACGCTACTAGATAACTCCTGAGATGCAAGAGGAGTAAAAGTTTGACGTCGGCTAAATTTATCTTCTTCAATAAAATGGGAGGAAGATGATGATCTTTTTTTCCTTGACAATAGAGCAATTATAACACTAAGTAGCAACAAAACACCCAATAATATCCCTGCAATGGCCCCTATACCCAGGCCAGATTTTCCAGATTCCTTATCTGAGTTCCTGGTGTGTGGTTTAGCTTTCTGCCCAGGAGGTGGAGGAGGAGCTGATCCAGTAGACCAACTATTTCCGCCAGTCCTTTTAAGCAAAAAGAAAGTATCAGACATTATAAATCAAAACTATTTAACCAATAGTTCATTCAACACTCACTCTAATTTTTTGATGTCTTTCAGCTCATTCGGAATCCATCCATTAAATTGGTTGTTTGCTACATTCCTGCCAACATTTTGTTGAATACACTGGCTTAGTTACGTCTAAACATCGAGGACACTTCATACTTGTGACAGTTTCTTATTCAAATCCAAGCCAACATTTTATTTAAGGGATATCGAAAAAAAGTATGAGATTTAAATTTGGCCTACTAATGATTTATGATTCTATCAGTCTTATAAAAGAGATTTTTTTGCATATAGATTGTCTGAACAAGTGGCAAGGGGTATTCTCGATATTGCATGCAGTCACACAGTAAAAGTCCACCTCTCTCAAAGGAGGACAAAAATAGAAATTTCTTTCTGAATCATAGACCTTATAGTACTAGAAGTCACAGTCGTAAGAAAAAGTACTAAAAATCATAGTAAAACTTGGGCTACAGAAGTTGGACCCTTGAAATGTGAAATCAAAGCTCACCTTAGAAATATAGAGGCAGTCAGGTTGGCACGAGACCTACTTTAAGCATATATCAACTCAGTAGCAATCATGGTATAATACAAAAGACAACCTAATGTACCAATTATACTCGAAAGTTTGAAAGTAAGATAAATGAAGAAGTCAAGAAACATGAAAGACTTAGAATTGTAATTTTTAACACATAATGCAGGAAAACTTACTACACTTTGGAATCGCAAAAACCATTACTTAGAATTGTAAAATTACTAACAGTTCAACTTACAAATCGTCAAGTTCAAGATCCGCAAGAACATTTATTGATCCAGTAAACTGATTGTTCTGTATATGCCTGCATGCAGAGTGAAAATGTTTATCTCCAATCAAGATTTTGATCCCAAATATTAAGCACTAGCTTACAATTTGCTGAGGCTTGAGAGGGATTTAAGACTCTGAGGCAAACTGCCTGATATTGAATTGTAGGAGATATCCCTGGATAAGATTGCACGAGTTAGTTGATACACTAGACAATTATATTACCGGACACACTACAACGTTTATGAATATATGTAAGCATGTTGATATGCAGGAATGTATAGAGAAAGAAGTGAGGGGGCCGTAAAAGCATTGTTATCTTGCTTGACTTTATTATCCTAGAGAGACTGAACTAACAGGATAATTTTAACTTATGTGGTGTTTTGTAGGAAGTACAAATGAAAATTAGACTATATATCGAGTTAGTACTCCTTCATAGCCTGTCTAGGCGGTGACACAAGGTGATCCATCATCATCTTTGCTTTCCTATTAGTAATAAAACTCTAAGCTTTATTCTTAACAGAGTGATCAACTTGAATGACTGCAAGGATTGTATTGGTGATATAAACGGCAATTCAGGTGAAATATCACATATGAAATATGTCAATGATACTCTAGTATTGTGTGGTGCTGAAGACGGGCATGGTTATTCTCAAAGGTGATACTTGTCGCCATGGATGCTACTTCTTGTATTGAAAGTAATGATCTGAAGAACAACCTATGAAAATAGTTAAGTAAAACCTCATTCACGGAGGCAAAGATTTTATGCTGGGATTTTGAAATGCTAAGAATCCACCCAAAAACAAATAATCTCTGCAATTAAATGTCTCATTTATCTTTTTAGTCCATCTTGAATTAATAGAAATGTCTTACACTATACCAAAAATCCTTTTAAGAAGTTGTCAGACAATTTCACACCTCTACAAATTTTCACTAATCCATTAGCAAGAAAAACTGTTAGCAGGTCGTGGTTGTTTTCTTTTAATTTTAAATAATCTCATTTCAAGTCAAATATGGACATTCCAATTGGAATGAAAGAGTTTCAAGAAAATTCAATGTTAAGGCTATAGAGATGCGATCAGAACTTTTCCATCAGTTAAGACTTCACTCAATCAACTCAATTCACACACTTCCCACACCTTTATAAAATAATCACAAACGTGCAGATTTCCATCCTCAAGCACTACAAGCAGCAAAGAATGATGCTCAATCTATATGACTAGGGAACATTATTCACACATCCACGTTGTCCGTTGTAATTCCACATCTAGCAACAATTTCTAAATTGTTACTGTAAATTCAGATCAGAGATATACAGACAGCGAACAATGGATAGTCCGGAAAAGGCAATGCAAACATATTCTTGGAACAACTAATATCAATGAACTTTTATACTTCCAGAACCATTCACTCTACAGTCTGTCTCTAATATTTCCTTGCAGCCATTCATGAACTTATTTGCTGAAGGCAAGACCTTATAGAAACAAAGAAAAAGACAACAGGGAGTAGCTGTATGCAAAATTTGCAATACTTACATCTCAGTAAGTTTTGTAAGTTTTCCAAATAAATCACTCAGTGATCCACTTAGCTTATTATGATTAAGATTCCTGCACAACACCAAGAGCATTATTGACACCTGATATGAAGCCCAAATTTAGAACATTAAGAATAAGAGAAAAACCATTACATAGATTTAAGCTCAGTCATCTGAGAAATTGAATAAGGTACAGTTCCACCAAATTGATTTCCAGAAAGATCTCTGCAGAACAAGGACCGAATGAGGGACTGGTAGGGCGCAATATCAACAGAAACAGATCTTCTGGATAAGGCTTAATGCTACTTAATAATAAACAGTTGGACTAAGAAAACACCGAAAGGAGGTGACCAAAAGTTGCAGCCTGAGGAGAAATTTCATAACGAATTATGTCTAAGAACTTAATGCTTCTCTGCCTACTTACAGGTGTTGTGTGCGAGGAGGAAGTTGGTATGGTATGTTGTCCTTTAGGTTGTTTTTGCTCACATCACTGCACTATGACATTCAAATTCATCTTTGTCAGGACCAGTTCTTTCAGTGACAGATAAAATCACATAATATAAACTCAATTTCAAATATCCAAGAGTTGTCTGGGCCTCACAAGTAGGTAACTTTGTCCAACTTATCAAGCTGGAAGCCAAGTGATCCAGTGAGCCCCAAGCCAGATAGATTACTGCAACATTATTTACAATTTAGGAATAATAAGCAGATCAATTTTTTTTTCATTACGCTTTGCAAGAAACAGTAAATGAAATGACAAAAGCAAATAAGGAAAGGAAAGAGGTACATTTCAGTGACATCTGAACCGGAACACTTGACACCCGTCCAAGAATCATCACAAGGATTTCCTCCATTGGATTTCCATCCATCAAGTTTGGAATGGGGCTTCAAATACTGATACATGTCATTGAGGGCTGAAACTGTAAAGACAATTAAAATTGTTATCTACATATCTAAAGATGTATATGAATAACATTTATGGGTTATCTAAGCTCGCGAAGATTCACAGTTTCTTCCTGCCCTCAAGCCAAGTAATTGAGAAGTTATACATTACTTCTCAAAAGCTGAGCTAATGATGAGCTTGGAATTCAGAATTGGGGATTTACCTTGCTGGGAATCTGTTTTCGAAAGCACCACATCAATATTGAAGGAGCTTGTAAGGATGATCCAACAAAGGAAAGTGCACGGACTTATCATCATCATCATATTTGGGCGATCAATTGCCCAAAACCTAAAATACTTTGTCAAACAACAACAAAAACAGCAGTATTATGAAAATCAGTAAATTAGTACTACTACACGGAATTTGAGTAGGGTGATGATTCCAAGTCTGTACATTGCTTCCCTACGCGAAGAGCAAGTTGAGAACATTCCCCAATCGGCCTCTGCGCGAAGGGTGATGATATCTCGAAGGGAAACTGTAGGATCAAAATTATTAAGAGAAAATTGTTTGTAGACTCTCGAAAGAATACATTGGGACTGCGATGCGCAAGGGTGATAACTGAATTGAGATTGGATATGCTCCAATGGTTAACGATCCTGAAAATTTGAACAAGGGAGTGAAGAAGAATGAAATTAGGCATTCGTTTCGATTGGATAGCCATTCTGCGAATGCTTCGCCCCAAAAGCAAGGATGACCTTCCATCGATTTTTCAATTCTTAAGTATTTATACGTGTGTGTGAGTGCGCAAGGCGAGGTAATCGCAGAATACTTATTTCTGGCAAGCTTTGCCGTATGTGGGCTTGAAATTTCAGTACTCACGCGCTCCGTTTGGATTAGATTAAAAATAGAATTTAAAAAGGCAAAAATAAAAAATTAATTTTTAAGTCAATAAAATATATGAATCTACTTTTCGTTTTTGACTTATTTTAAGTTATTTTTTATCCTGTCAAACACTTTTTAAATTATTTTTTATATTTGACGAAACACTTTCAAAAATAAAAAATTAACTTAAAAATAGATTTCACTAACTTTTAATTCAATCCAAATAACCTACTTGAGTTGAGAATAGGTAGAACTTGATAAATACAACATTTTTTGTATAAAATTACACTGGTACGTTGTGTTGCGTTAATTCAAAATTAATTATTTTACATTAAGACATTAAATTTTGACAAAAATATCCTCCATTAAAAGTTACTTCCTATATTCCACATTAAGTGAATTTTCGAAAAAAAATATAATTTAAAATAATTGAATTGTTCAAAGTTCAAGATATGTATGATTTTTTCCCTTCATATTCGTCTTATCGATTAATGACGTTTTATATTTTCTAGGAGATAAATTACATTATTTTCAAAATTATATTTATGATTTCATAAAAGACGAAAATATGATTTAGATTATGTCCTTGAATATTTTTCTTAAAGGTGTACACTGCCTCACAGATTCACCTAATATGGAATAGAGAAAGTAAAAACCAGATAAATTTATTAAATTGTAAAAGTTTGAACTACATGAAATTTGAAACTCCAACCATTTTTCAAACTTCAGCACCTTATGCTAGAGATTTACTTGTCCTAGCTTTATACTCCAACACTATGTATTGGACTTGTTATGTGTTAAGAAGCTATCAGTATTTTTGTCAAAATTTTATTTTTCCGCACTAAAAAGTGGCCTACATTTTAAATAATGGCTAAATTTTGATTCCCAGCTCAAAAACTGGTACATTCCACAATTCACTTGTTTCCTATTTCAATTTATATAACATAATTTGAACAGAGAGACTTTTGAAGCTTGTATTTTTAATATATTAAAATTTGTAGTCTTAAATACATCTAACGTTTGTGTGGCAAATAAAAATTCTTCACTACAGGTAAATTAAGTTTTTTCAAGTATAGACAAATATTGTATCCTCACATTGTGAATATGATTACGTGTTTTTCTTTAGAAATAATGACGATATATATAAGTTATACTCATAAAAAAATAATGTTACTGCATAAATTGGAATGAAGGACGAATGTGGCCAGAGTAGTAGCTGTATGAGAATAAGTACAGTTTGTCTTCATAAACTACAAGCTGGTTTTTCACATACAGCTCTGAAATGTATTGCAGAATTGTACAATTCCTCCAGGCCAAAAAGAAAATTACAGGGTTGGGACTCTTTCAGAAGCACCACCGATGACGGTGAGCAAGTTGTTGCCAAAGGGGTCACTCAAATGGGCAGCCAAATTCTCAACAGGACCCTGTCCGGTCACATAGGCTTGGATGAAGAAACCAAGCATAGAAAACATGGCTAGTCTTCCATTCTTGATTTCTTTTACCTTCAAGATTGCTGCCTGGTCTGGGTCCTTTGCTAGGCCTAGTGGGTCAAATGGACCACCTGGGTGTAGCTTGTCCTCCAAATCCTGCATCCCGACACAATTCGTTAAATCCACAATCTAATCAACTGTCAGTTTTTATGATCGAGGCAAATTACTGAGTTTTGAATAAATTTAATTATACATATTAAGTAGATTTCTTAACATAAATACAAGAACTGTCAATGCACATAATATTATGATGAAGGTTGTAGTAGGAAAAGGGGAGCTCACCAAGCCATTAATAATTCTGTAGTACTCAGCACCACCAACAAGAACAACCTCTGCGACGACAGCAAGAATAAGGTTGATGGGAATGTTCTTTCCGAAGTAATTCAATGTGTTTCCGTCTAGAAGTAAAGCTCCAGTCTACACATGAGACGAAATTTCATAATCAGGATTTCCCCTCACATTTAAACAAATTGCAATTAGTGGTGATGTGTGTATATATATATACCTTGAACCAAACAGCTTCAGGACCACAGTTGGCACCAAATTTGTTGAAGGCTTCTGGGATAATAAACCCAGCAGCACCGAGCATAGCCCATCTGGCGTGGATCAGCTCATATGCCTGATATCTGCAGCAGATCGAACAATTTTAAACTTAGATCCATCTCCACAATCAACAAGAACAAAGTTGGCTGACTGAGCGTGTAAAATTAATTAATGTGTCACTAGTACTACACTTACTTGGCGAAGTCTTCTGGCTTCTTGCTCAAACCAAAAGGATCGTAACCGTAGCTGCAGCAAGTACAAGAAAATTCTTATATATATGGACAATTTCTCTATTTGTATATGCTAAGTAATATAATTTATCAACAAAATTACGAGATGCAGCAAGTAGATCGAAGCTTACTCTCCGGGAACTTCTCCGTTCAAGTACTCGGGGATTTCTGATCTGTCCAATAGACCCTCGGGCAGGAAAATTCTTCTGTCAGGTCCTGAAAATATTCGCAAAATTTAAGAGCATATAAAAACTAAATGGAAGATGTTAAACAGAGGCTGCGTGGACTTAGGAGAACTCTACTCTTCCGTTCTGTTTGACATTAATTACAGTACAGTCAGAGGGGAATCTAAAATTTTAATACAACTTTGTGCGAAATTAAATAGCTTCTCTTATAAAGTGAGAAAATGTAGTACTCATCTGTTACAATTAATACGACTACTGCATTAAATTTCGTGTCCAATCAAACTCATAAAAGGGAAGGAGGTAGTAATGTTACTCACCGTACCACTTGGCGAGCTCATCGTCAGCAGGGGAGACAGCGGCAGCCTTAGCTTTGGCAGGAGCTGCAGCCGCCTTCTTTTTGAAAAGGGCAACAGTTTTGAAGGTAGCAGAGGAGGATGGAGATGGAGCAGCAGGCCTTGCAACACCGCTAAACTTGACCGGACTTCCGAGCATCTCGGAGACGTATAGAGAGGTAGCTGCAGCCATTTGTAGCTAAACGGTGTCGCTGGCAAGAGGTAAAAAAAATTGAGGTCGAGTTGATGATGAGAAGTGAGAATTGAGGATGGTATTTGGAGTGGAGATACTAGCTTAAAGCTTTTTCTGGTGGATGAGAGCGTGACAAGTGTCGCTCTGTTATTGGAGCCACAGGGAAGATGAATGTGGAATCTGATGCGGCGTTTTGATTGGAAGGAGTTTGTGACGTGGCAGATGACAGTGCTGACATGGCATGCATCGCAAAACTCCTGGACCAGACTTGGATAACGTGACCCTATCCACATTGCAATTTGCAATGCCACAATACTTTCTTATTTTTCTATATTTTCCTCTTTTATATTCTTATTTTGTAACATAATACTGCTGCAAAGTGTTCCTTGGTTTCAATTTATTTACTTTAGGTTTAAAAAACATAAAAATTATATTTTTATGATATACCTAAGGGTACATTTGACCATAGATTTTTTAAATAATATTTGAATTTTTTTTTAGCAAAGGGTGTTTGTTCATATACTTTGTCATTATTTGACAAATATTTTTGGAATATATCTCAAATTTTCAAATACTAGATTTTTCTAGCATTTAGGCCAAATTTAATTATTTGGAATCTTTTAAAAATTAAAAGTTTACCCCAAATTTTTATCTTTTACTAAAACACCCTCTATAATGTTGCTTACGTTGTATTACACAATTTTTTACATTAATTCCAAAGTAGTGATGAAATATTCGGTGCATGTCAAAATGATAATATGATTATTGATGAAATTGATGAATAATCGGCTCAAAATAACAAAGTCATGTGTTTTGTCTACTTCACGATGCATGAAATGACGTTTGTTGCACTCACCCAAAATTACCACATTGCTCTAGTGTCATAGACAAAGATTCAATTGACTTGTAATACAAACTTATGGTTAATTTTGATATTTTTAAAACTTATGGGTGTAAATCATATTTTTTTAAAAAGTAAAATATATTTTCTAAATACTACGACCAAACACATGGTGAAATTTCACCCAAATAATATTTGCCAAGAATATTTGAAAATCTATGGCCAAACCCTAGCTAAGTTTGCAACATTGTACTTCATAACAAACTTTATGTTTGCTATGGAATATCAGGTTTGTATAAATTGCTGGTAGACAAAAGCGCAACGATTGTGTATATATATTGGTTAGATGATTGTGTATATATATATATATATAAATATCAATGATTGTGTTTGTATATCTGTATAAAATTTAAATTTGTATACAGTTGAATCAAAATAAAATATTTGTATATCAAATTTCTCTCTTTCTCTCTCGCTTTATACAACACAAATTATACATTGTAATTTATATGATTTGTGTTTGTATAAAGTGAGAAAGAGAGATAGGCAAAAGATAACTGACATGGAAAGATCTGTATTCGTAAAATAATTAGTGAAAGAAAAAACTCTACTTTATCCAATATTTTAAACGTTTTCCGTTAGTCATATAACGTGATTTATTTGTGACTTTTTTGGCGTTAATTTTATATTTTTTTTTCATATTTTTCCTATTTTTTATTAATCAATTACTCATTTTCGGGATTAACCGCAAAAATAAAAATTAAACAAAATTGTTAAAAATGAGTCGAATAGTGAATTTAAAAGGAGCTGATTTATGGGTCGAATAAGGTGTTTAAGAGTCCGAATATCTTTACATTTTCATATAAATGTTATGTGGTAAGGTCAAAATGACATGACAATTCCTCGTGGCATTTAAAGAAATGAAAAATGAGTTGGATATGTTCAACATGACAACTAACGCCCATAAGGGCATATTTGGACCAAAAGTTGGACAGCGAGGGCATGAGTTAACCAAACTTTAAATGGAGGGTATATGTAGACCTTTTTGAATAGTATAGGGGCACATTTGATCCTTTTCCCTTTAATATATAATGGAACTATTTATTACAATTTATAAAACGTAAGTTTTTCTTACACTTTGTAAAGTGGAACTTTTTCTTACACTTTATAAAGTAGAAGAAAATCTTACACTTGGAGCAAATTCCAATCTTGATGAAGTAAACCTCTACAAAATATATAATAATAATAATAATAATAAAAAATCATATAAATTAATAAATAATTGACAAAATCAACAAATAATAATTGAAATATAATTATTGAGAATTACCCGTCACTTTTATTGATAGTTTCGTTCAAATTAAAATCATATGGACCGGTTAGAATATTTTGATAATGAGTCATGTTAGGAAAATCAGTAGATTGAGTTATCGAAAATCCATCAACGCTATTACGATTTTCTAATCGGGATGGACATTGACTGATAAAGGAGAATGTTGTTGACTAGTCTTAGGCTCCTTTCTAACATAGATTTCAAGTATTGTTAACTTGTTTTGATCTATGTAGTTATTTGGAACCCTCAATAAGTCGATCAACGATTCGTAATTATAATCTTCAAAATTTACTTTTCCTTGTGATAAAAACGAAGTAGGGTATTTTTCCCTATAATCAAATTACAATCAATATTATCTATACCCATTCTTTTATAAATTGATGAAAGAAATTTATGATATTAGACATTAATTGAATATTTAGCATTGCGTTTGGGAGGACAATTATAATAAATGGTATTTTCATCATGTATGATTTCGTCATCCCAATAAATCGAAACTCCAACTGTTGAGATAGAAGACATTTTTAGTGATTGAAATGAAGAAAAATAGAAGACTAAAGATGTTGAAGGTGCTATGTTTAAATGTCCTTAATAGAAGACTAAAGATGTTTCTTTTTCTGGGTCCACTTAAAATACAGACTTCTTTCCATAATAGGTTAATATTGTCATGACAAGTAATAGTAAACCTAAATATTATATTAATTAGTAATTACTAATACCTAAACCTAATTCACCCTACGGCAGTTTTAAGTACTGATTTGTTTTTCAGTTTTAATATTGAATTACTTTGATTAACTTCCACTTAAATGCACACAGTGTATGTGCAATCAAAGTTTCAGGAAAACAATTGTAAACAAACAACAAACCAGTACTTAATTACTCTATCAAAAGTAGTAATCACAAACTTGTTTATTTCCGTATCTCAAGCCAGATCCATCTACAAGTTCTAAGCTCTCAAAACAGCACCCGTGCACTCCCACAAACCATGCTAAATCTTGTTCCTTTGGCACATGAAAACATTCCATGTTTTTGGTAACCACATCATAAGAGTAGACTTGTCTGACACCACAAAAATGAGGTTTTGAAACGAGTGCAGACCAATTAGCTAGTCTTGTTAGTGTCCGCGAGGAACTAATATAGAATCATTATTCGAGGCTAATTAACATAAATTCTGTCTTATTTATAAATTACAGAGTATTTTCCTTTGTATCCAGTGCTTGATTGATCATATGGGGGGGGGGGGGGGACTGTATGAACTTTTGTAACATGTAATCAAGCTTAGAATAATAATAACAGTTTATTTGTCAAAATTAGAAATTGAACACTAAAACAGAATTTACATAAACTATAAGAAACATCAACAAAAAGGAGCACAAAAACTCGTGATATTGTTTCAAAAAGTACTGATCCTAGCTAGCTAGTTAGTATTGTCCACAAAATTAGTTGAAACTGTCCAGGTGGTACCAATTCTTCAGAGCAGCATATCTTGTAAATGCGCGTTAGACTCCCAAGATTGTTGATCCAACAATAATGTTATCTTACTCTCCCTATTTATATTCAATCTATCATTCAGAGGCACATCATCTAACAAGGCTTCTGTAAGGTCATCAAGAAAGCTCGATTTTTCTGTTTCACAAAGTGTCTTACATTCTTCTTGTGGTTTTGGTTCTTGTTGTGTCTCCAACAATGTGTAACCCATATCAAACATTTCTGGCATCACAAATTCTTGAATTTGAAAAAAAGGCGCAGTTTGCCCCAACAGACGATTCGCTTCACCAGCAGCAGCCTCTTGAGTGATCTGCACCTGATTAGATTCTACTATTGATTGTTTAGAAAAATCAAAAGCATTCTCCGGATTCATCAATACATCGGCATCCATATATTCAGTCAAAGTACCATATATTTCAGGCATAGTTATATTTGACTTCACATTCGCAAAGTCGGGAATCATAGGTTCTTGAATAGGAGAAAAAGTATTTAGCTCCCAGTTGTTCCTGATAGCGTAGTCCCCATAACCAGTTAGTAGTCCAACAAAGCTTGAATTATTGGCTTGAAATTCTGAATATGCGTTACAATCCTCATTAACATCAACAATAAAACCTTGCTGCTGGTGTACTGGCAGATTATTTTCTGGTATTGTGTTCTCAAATTCCGAAACACCATTTCCTTGCACCTCAGCTTCCATTGCTGGATTTTCAACGACATTGATAGGATGATTGATCATCCCATAGTCCTCATTCCTCATTTTCGTTAATTCAGGATCAATATTATATTCTATTAATAGAGCATTGATCTTCTCTTCATCTGATAAAGACTCTTGAATACGCAACACTGGTTCAACAATATTGATAGGAGTGATTGCCTGATCCATCCGCGGCTCAACAGAATTTATCCCTGAAATCACCTCTGTATCCAACTTGTGTTCATTCAAATCAGTTGTACTCGCATTACTACTTGGCGAAGGATTAGACGAATTTTTCCTTTTTATAGCACAAATACAATAGTCTTTATAATTAGAGTTTTTGAACTTTTTAAGAATAGCTTCGCAAAAAACGTACTCCTTCATGAGCCACTTTCCATCATGGGGACAACAAATGTTAGTATCATAATCTAGACTTTTCTTGAGTCCCATATTCAAAGGCTTGCTCTGTTTACTCCTAATCCATTTCCCCTTATCTCGTTGTTTCCAAGTCCCAAGACCGTTAGCCACATGTCTGGAAAATCTGTTATCACTCTTCTTATGCCTCGGGGAAATAAAGTAACGAAAATTATTAGTATCCCCATCGTCTTGTCCTCCACAATGGCGCCCATAGCCATAAGTTATCCATGGTTGTTGGTTATAGACATCACACTCCGTAATAAAACCATTGTCACATAAGTTATTTTCAGTGATAAACCTAAGAAGGTATGTGAGTAACTCTGAATCTGTGGGATGAAATCGATACCCTTCTTCTTCAAACTCCATCACTCTTTCTTGTATATTTGAAAGATTGAAGAGAGTATATATGGGGGCTGAAAGGTATAATATTTTATACAACAAAAAGTAATAAGGTTGAAGGTTTATGGGAACAATTGTAACAATCAAGTATATTTATAGGCATAGTTAGTCAATTCTTGACTTAATAGGAAACCCAATTAGTAACAAATTATGAAAATAAATACTTGGAAAACTTACCATATCCAACAATATAATAATATTTGGAAACTTATGGTTATATTTTTGTTTTTTTAACTAACAATTTTTTTTTACAAACAATATTTTGATGAAACTTACCATTTTAGTTTTTTTTTTTAATTAGCATTGGCAAACAATTTTTGGCAACGTACATGTATACTACAAGACAGCATGAGACGCTACGTGATCAGAAACATGAAAAGATCTCATCATTACGACTGAGATTTCTTCGTTTTCTATATACCTACTGAGCAAAGCCAAAAATCAACATGTTTCCTAATCGAATTATTTCTGAATCTGAATCAAAATTTAAGTCTTATTAGCGATTACACACTACATGAGCAGAACAAATTGACAAATTTATACAAAGCTCACAATAGAGAAATTTATATATAAAATCTATTCGAAGCCTCCAATCTAAAAGGAAATCTAACACTCGGAATCTTCTTCTGCAAGCAGAATATGAATGCTTTTTCGTATTGCTATATTTTGATATAAGTTTTATTCAGTTTACAGATCAAAAAATGTTTTTTCGTATGCTATATTTTGCAATTCATGTTTAATTCGCTTCTGATTCATGTTTAATACACTTTTAATTCAAATTTAATTCATTTGGCAGTTTATCATGTTTTACCATCAAATTACTTGTCTAATTCATTATTGATATAAGTTTTATTCACTTTACGAAACATTGATTGCTCTTTTGTTTGGCATTCATATTTGTTTCTCTTTTAAGTCATTTTGTAGTTTATTGGTGATGCATAGAAAGAAAAACATGATAACCTACTTCCAATGGCTACACTCAAGTTGTAAAACTTAGTTAAACCACCATTTAACCAAAATGAAAAGCTTGGATCGGAAATTAAAACCAATAGAAATAAAGGATCAAATATCTTATGATGTATTTAAATGTCAAATGCTATTCAACATGTTGTAAAAGAGTTGCTTCCAGATATTCTCATTCATTCATAACAGGCTTGTTGTCACTTGCCTTTGGCTTGTGTTCCTTGGGCTTCTGCTCTTCTGTTGTTTTCCTGTAGAATTAAACAAAAAGGTTGGAGAAGTGAGGCTGTTGAAACGACGATGAAGGAACACCAAGTGGACACGAAAACTACATTAGATAAAGATAATACAGTTAGAGCAAAAATGTTGGCACACACGTGTTTTAGACCCTCGCGAAGAGAGTAGTAGCTGCTTTTGGAGGATTGACACACCTTTGAAGAGCAACATAGCTTAAAACCCAATTTCAACAGCTCTAAGCCATACTCTAATAATCTGAATGTTGTTTTAACTAAACAGCTACACAAGTAAGCGCAATGCCTTTCAGCTTCATAACATTGGAAAACAATTTTTGGCAATATACATGAACAAATTGACATATAGTAGGAAAATATCTACTGAAATTGCTTTGGTTTCTATATTGCCAAAAATCAACATGTTTCCTAATCAAATTATTTCTGAAACTGAATGAAAATTTAAGCCTTATTAGGGAGATACACACTACATAACTCATCGCTGAACAAATTGATAAAATTTATACAAAGCTCACAATCGAGAAATTTATATATAAAATCTATTCAAAGTCTCCAACCTAAAAGGAAATCTAACAGACGGAATCTTCTGCAAGCAAGCAGGCAAAATCCAACTCACAAACTATTAAACTTTACGTTTTAGGTTAAGCTATGAATTTGAGGATGTAACCCTAATACATCATAAATCATAAATTTTAGGGTTAGCGAGATGTACCTTTTGTCAGATGTGCCTCCCTTCTGGCTCAGGAACGATCGGAAAAGCGGCGAATTCACGTCGTAAATCATCTTCCTTTGTCGGCAACAAACAAAACCCTAATTTTCACTTTCAACTTCTCTTTCTTAACTTTCATACTATTTATATTATATGATAATTGGTAATGGGCCGCCAGTTGAGACCTTATGGCTAAATTGATTCGGAATTGGTCTATTACACTTCAATAACAAATAATTTTTTTTACAGGGATAATAATCGCTACACTTAAATAACAAATAATTTTTTTACGGGGATAATAGTTGATAAGAACGTAACAAAGTCACTTCATCCGATATTAAGTATCAGCGATCGTTCAATAGTAATATAACCCAACTAGTGAGTTGGGTTAACGGTTCGTAACTGAGAATCAATGGGAAAATAAGAATATGTTCCAGTCAATCATAGCTAAAAGTATTTACGAATAAAAAAAACATAAGTAAAGTTTGGAGTGACACAAGTGTCAGATATCAAGGGGGTTTTGTATGTAATTGTCAACTAAAAAGTAAATAATACGAATAAACAAGTGATAGGATTATGGGATGTGATAGGATATGGGATAAGATAGACAACATGATAATTGCAATTAACAGTGAATAGCTGTGAATCAATGAATATGCTAGATTTTAGTGGAGATAAATTCTCTGTCGAGCAATTTACCCCGAATCAAATTGGTTTCTCTCGAATACCAATAAGCATCAATTAAGAACAATCTTCGCTTTAGTACATTCACTCTCTCGCGCTGAATGTGTGGAAAAAAGGTTTAGGATTCACTCTCTCGAGTTGAACCCATGATAACCTAAAAGCCCACAGACCATTAATTTAGTAATCTTGGTTTCAAAACCTCTCTCTCGAGCAAGCCAAAAATATGAAGGTAGAGTTGCATTTTCAACTACAACTTTTTAGATTAAGCCACAATTACCGAATGAAATCACTTTTAAACAACATTTACACTATCAATTAGTAATACCCAACAACTAAATCAACCCATAATCACATAATCACACCCCAAGAATTGGAATTTTAGCTTGACATAGTAAAAAGTAAGAAATCAATACCAAACTGTGTTTACATCAACTAAATAAGATTAATATTGTCTTTGCAGAGGTCTAAGATGAAGAATCTTCAACACCCGCTTTCAATTTCTTGGAATTGAAAATCTTCAAAGCTAAGAAAATTGTTGTCTCTCCAACTTTCAAACTGAACATTAATGAATAGCTAGATAACTCGATTGATAGATTGTTCGCTAGATAGATAGATAGATAGATAGATAGATACTAAACAAAGAATTATAAAATGTATTTATAGTTACAAAAATTGTGCTGCGTAGGACCATTCGGGCGCAGTTAATTGGGATTGTAGATCCAATTAACGATCCATCATTTAGTCATTCTCATCGTCGTTTTGCTTTAGCCTTCAACATCTTCAAATTCTGTCACTTTGGGCAATAAGGCACTGCGTCGCGGAATCTTCGGCGACTCGTCGATTCTTCTTTCCATCGTCCATTTGATTTTCTCCTTCAAGGCTTTGCACACTGGAACATTAGGCGATACCACAGTTATTCGTTGACTGGCCCAATGATTTAGGCGATTCTCAAGCCTTGTTTACTTTGTTCTTTCAGTTGCATTGTTCCTTTTTGCTCATTAGTGTCCATATTTTGTTTTCCCAATTCAAATCCCTGAAAATTAAGGATTTATAATTGTTAGTGGCACAAAATATGCATTTGAGGACACTAAATCTATAAAAATAAAATCCTAAATGAGTCTAAATTGAGGACTCGTCAATAGCCATTACACTTAAGACACTATAAACATTTGCCTTCCCCTTCTCCCAAAAACTTTAACAACCATCACTGCCATCTCACAAATTAAGCTTCCACAAAATCTTCTATATGTCTACATATCATCCATATTTGAACTTACTTATACAGGCCAAACATAAGTTTAACTGATTTGTACTAGAATGAATTATTGGGCTAAACTATGTGAGTTAGCTGGTTCAGATAAAGATATAACAGTCATACCTTTAAAAAAAATTTAAATTTTGGAATTGCGAATGTTTCTCCTTTAATCCTATGTTTACTTGCATTGTTGTATGCATTAGTCTACCGTTTCTTGATAATCTTACTTTACATTTGGTGATTTGAGTTAATCATTTTTTTGTCTAGGGGTGGTACAATATAAATTGAAGACCAGTATCATTTTAGCTTTGAATGAAACATGAAGAGTTGCGACTTTCATGAAAAGTTGTGATTTTTATGAAGAATTTCAACTTTCATGAAAAGTTGTGATTTTTATGAAGAGTTTCAATTTTTATGAAAAATTGCGACTTTTAAATTGTGACTTTTTTGAAAAGGTTGTGACCTTTATTAAGGCTTGTAACTTTTTCGAAGAGTTGTGACATTTTCGATAAAACACAATAAACATTTGCCCTTTTTTGTTTATGTATACAGGAATTTTCTCTCATTTTAAAATAATGAAAATTCTGAACTTCTTCTTCACAATTAAATATTTGGGTATTTTGCTCGTGTTGAATGATTCACTATCACTATTGTTTGTGTATTATTATACAAGTGAATAGAATTGTTCCATCTTGAGATGATTTATTCCTTTAAACCTAGGGTACTAGAGGGGAGTAATTTCATCAAGGCAATATTTTGTATTTAGTGGGCTCGATTTTTTTCTTTTCAATTTCATTCTATTGTTACAGATCCTGACATGTATTTTACATCCATTAATTTATGTCTATCTTATTAATTTTTATTTTTGAGTACATGCTTTAAACTTTATTATTTATGTTTCTGCAAAATTATTGTTATAACTATTTGTTAGTATAGATTAAACAACATATGTTAATTGAGTATTCAAACAAGTTTTCTCTTCTACAATTGTTCAAGGTGCAATTAAGGAAATCCCTTTAAGATATAAATGATCGAACCACCACTCTATAAAGTGCATCTTTCAAGACATGGCATGACACAATCTTAACACAAAACGAAAAATCTTTACATAGCCTGTGCTAATCATCGTTGCCCATCTATTCTATTCAGAATTAGCAATTCATGAAGAGCCTACTTCCAATGGTTACACTAGATATTCTCAAATTGTAATTAAAATTTAGTTAAACCACTATTTACCCACTAACGTAACACTAATTAGTCCCAAAATGTAAGTGCATTGGATCGGAAATTAAAACCAATAGAAGTAAAGGATAAAATATCTTATGATGTATTTAAATGTGAAATGCAGTACATGTTGTAAAAGAGTTGCTTCCAAATATTCTCATTCATTCATAACAGGCTTGTTGTCACTTGCTTTTGGCCTCTGATCCTTGGGCTTCTGCTCTTCTGTTGTTTTCCTTCACGATTAAACAAAAAGGTTAGAGAAGTGAGGCTGTTGACACGACAGTGAAGGAACAACAAGTGGACACGAAAACTACATTAGATAATTATAATACACTTGGAGAAAAACTGCAGGCACACAATTTTTGTTTGTGTGGATTCTTTGAATAGAAGAGCAACATAGCTTAAAACCCAATTTCAACAACTCTAAGCAATCTTAGAGACTCTAATCTGATTGTTCTGTTAACTAAACCACAAGCTAAGTAGCTGCTTCCGATGAATTTGAAGTGCAATGTCCATTAAAGATGTTTTTGTTTTCATATTACAGATTGAAAAACATTGGAAAACAATTTTTTGCAACATACATGTATACTACCAGACAACATGAGATCAGAAACATGACATCTAGTGGGAAAATATCGCATTATTATGACTGAGAT